CCTCCCTTGGGAGACAGTCCTCCACGAACTTCTCCAGCATGGGTCCTTTCCATGGGGTGTCATCCTTTCATGGGTTGCAGTCCTTCAGGAGCAGACTGCACCATTGTGAGTCCCTCACGGGGTCACAAGTTCTGCCAGCAAACCTGCTCCGGCATGGGCTCCTCTATCCATGGGTCCACAGGTCCTGCCAGGAGTCTGCTCTGGCACAGGCTCTCCACATGGTCACAGCCTTCTCCAGGTGCACAGGGGTGCAGTCCTTCAGGAGCAGACTGCACCAGTGTGAGTCCCTCACGGGGTCACAAGTTCTGCCAGCAAACCTGCTCCGGCATGGGCTCCTCTATCCATGGGTCCACAGGTCCTGCCAGGAGTCTGCTCTGGCACAGGCTCTCCACATGGTCACAGCCTTCTCCAGGTGCACACACCTGCTCCAGCGTGGGGTCCTCCATGGGCTGCAGGTGGATATCTGCTCCACAATGGACCTCCATGGGCTGCAGGGGGAGAGCCTGCCTCACCATGGTCCTCACAGCAGGCTGCAGGGGAATCTCTGCTCAAGTGCCTAAAGCACCTCCTCCCCATCCTTCTACAGTGACCTTGGCATCTGCAGAGTTGTTTCTCTCACATACTCTCACTCCTCTCTCCAGTTTCTGCTGCCCTGTAGGTTTTGTTTTTGTTTTTTTTTCCCCTTAAATATGTAATCACAGAGGCACTACCACTGTCACTGATGGGCTCAGCCTTGGCCAATGGCAGGCCTGTCTTGGAGCTGGTGGCATTGGCTCTATTGGACATGGGGGAAGCTTTGAGCAGCTTCTTACAGAAGCCACCCCTAGTAGCCCCCCCACTATCAAAACCTTGCCATGCAAACCCAATATACCTTTTCTATAACAGTATGAGAGAAAAGCTTGTGTAATTGCACGAGGCTCATTTCTACCCGTTTTCTCATCAGTAGTAAGGTTAAGGATGCACAAGTCTGATGAACAGTATTTTCTCACTGGAAATCTCACTTTTTATAGTGTAAAAGACTGCTCCTTATGCTGTTTCTTCTGTTCCCAATTTGAGTTTCGGATATTTCTCCGTCTGGTGTTTTGGAAATGCGTGGGACTCTCTTTACTTGTCCGACTACACATAACACAACAGCAGAGAAGAAAGGTTTCCATTGTTGACGTTTTTTCATTCAATGATTTAACAGTGATTTAGAGAGTGAATGCTTCTGCCCAAATGCTTAGGTTGCTATATCAACTATTTGAATTATTTTTTCCCCTAAACTATTTTTATTATTGTATTACAGTAGGGGAACTAAATGCATCGGTGCTGTTGCAAGTGAAAAATGATGCAGCATTTACAGTAATTTGGCTTACAGTTAGAGGAGATTATAATGGAATTAACTGAATTTGCTGCATCAAGAAATAAAAACTTTCACCTGTTAGCACATTCTAGGGACTATTTTAAGAGAGCAAAATAGTACTTCAAGACGTAGCAATGCTCACCAGGTTCATAGGCTGGGATGTAGTAGCTGAACTTCTATCTCTTGGAAAATACTCAGAAGTATTTATCAAAAAATTGAGCGTGTTTTCTGAAAGACTTTTTACCCACATTACTTGGTGTAAATAAGTGTAGTACACTCTCCATTTCAGCAACTTTATAGAATGAATCATCTTCAAATTAATTTGTAAGAATTTGCCAAAAGGCTTGCATGGTGAACCTCAGTGTATGCTATATCTACAAGCAGTTCACTTGCAGCGGGCACTACTTGTGGGAATACATAATGAGTCATTGAAGACATAGCTTTCCCCCCCCACTTCTCTGTCTGAACCATAAAACTTTCCAAGTAGGAAAATGAATTTGCAATTTTTTTTAATAAACGAAAGTGATCAGTGGCATACAGTCTGGCTTCCACAGGAATCCTTTCTGATAGAAAAGGAGGTATTTGTAAAACAGCAGGTAAACCCCAAACGCCATACTGAATGATAACAACAGTATGTAAAAGAAATTTGCATTTGGCCCTGCATTTGGTTCTTGCATTTGAAGACCCATCATGAGTTTTCCCGTTTGCTACCTTCTTCTCACTGAAATAGCAGTGCTAAAAGATATAGCTTCTTAAATGTGTTGACTGATTAAGGTTATGAGAATGGGATGAATTTGAGTTTCTTTTGATCTTAGTACTGTCTACAACATTTTACTATGAGAGCAGTCTGCTCCTGAGCATGATTATGACACCGAAATGGAAGAACTGGCAGAAGAAAACATATAACAGGATGAAATTCTTTTTAGGTTGAAAATAACTGTATCAAACAGTGAGAGAGATTAAGCTGTTATAAAGCTTCAGGAGTAGAAATAACAGTGTAGAGCTGAGGCATTTATAGAAAGTATACTGTAATAACAGCTGGATTGTAAATGAACAAAATATTAAACAATGGTCAATGATTCCTCTATCCTCTTATGGTTAGCTGCTCGGTAGTTCAAAGTGAGCAATGAAAAGACAAATTGCAGTTTGATCTATGGCCCCCAGCAAAAACTTAACCTTGCTTAGATTTGATGTGTAACTTTCTTTTAGGATACTGGCAGCAAAGCTTAATTTTTAATACTTTAACCTCTTCAAGATTCATAGGCCTCAGAAGGCTATATACGTGCAAAGGGCTCATTTAGTAACTTAAGTAATGAGATTTCCTTATGTTGATTCCTACCATTTTTTTCTTTTTGCGCTAAATGGCAAATAATGGAAGCTGTTGCATTTAATTAAGAGGTTAGGCACTGAGCTCACCTCCTGAGATACACATGTTGTTTTCCAGGGGATCCCCACAGGAGGTTGCAGTGCTTTCGATGGTACTGGAGCAACCTGCAACAGAATACTGGTAGCGCAATGTGGGATGCTTTGCTTGAAGTAGTAGACTGAAACTTTAAGACATCACAAATCTTGGTCTTTCTACACTAACTGTGTGTATATTGGATATTGCTTGGCTAGCCTGATGTTTTCCTTTTTTTAAATAGCAATCAGTTGTACAGAAGGCTACATCTGATTATTTTGTTAATAATCGAAATGTGGTTCAATATTATTCTGCAGTGTTTTATAGCTTTACTTTATACACTTGAAGTATCATACAAAATTATGTGGCTTCACATTTTTTTCCCTGTAATATTTCTTTTTTTTTTTTTTTTTTTTTACAAAATCCCATTATTAAATAAGGAAAAACCCCAAACACGTAGGTTTGGGCCCAAGCCAAACCTATGTGAGTTAAGGAGCTAAGTTTCATTTAGTGATATGTGTCATATATCTCAGTTCCTTTCCATGAAAAATATCTGACTCTTTCTTTCCAGCAATGATGATTTTCCCTTTGTTTTTCACTTGTATTCATTCAGCTGGCTTTTTTATCAATCAATTTTTATCTTGTTTCCATACAATTCTAATAAAGAATTTGGCTGATGACTAGAATCTCAAAAGAGCAGCGTATGAAAGCTGGTGTAAATAATTTTGTTTCAAACAGGAAAAAAATGGCTCATTGCTCCCTGTTGCTTGTGAACTTGCTTCTGTGTTCTTATACAAAGTAGCTGCTGTTCAACTTTTTTCGTGTTCGCTGGCTGATCTGAAAAAAATCCATCAACCAACAATAAATGAGTGGAGATCAAGCAGAGGAGGATTAATAGCACAAAGTTTCCGTATGCTGCAGAGCACAATAGGCAAGGAAAATCTGTCTATTTTCCTGCTATATGGTGATAAATGCTGATGATCACCATGAACTGAAGAATTCAATCTCTTTATATGCAGACCTGATATAAAACTGAGTATTCAGATGTTTTGAGTAAGATACAAACAGTAGAGTATGTTTTGATAGTCAGTCTCATCCCTAGCACAGGTAGTCCTAGTCAGTAGAAGCTGTTCTTCCACAGAATTCACAGAATCCACAGAATGGTTAGGGTTGGAAGGGACCTTTGGAGATCATCTAGTCCAACCCCCCCACCAGAGCAGGGTCACCTACAGCACGTTGCACAGGACAGCGTCCAGGCGGGTTTTGAATGTCTCCAGAGTGGGAGACTCCACCACCTCTCTGGGCAGCCTGTTCCAGTGCTCCACTACCCTCAAGGTAAAGAAGTTCCTTCTCATGTTAAGATGGAACTTCCTATGTCCAAGTTTATGCCCATTACCCCTCGTCCTATCACTGGGCACCACTGAAAAAAGACTGCTCCCATCCCCCTGGCATCCTCCCATTAAGTATTTGTATGTATTAATAAGATCCCCCCTCAATCTTCTTTTCTCTAGACTAAAGAGACCCAAGTCCCTCAGCCTTTCCTCATAAGAAAGGTGCTCCAGTCCCCTAATCATCTTCGTTGCCCTTTGCTGGACCCTCTCCAGCAGTTCCCTGTATTTTGTACAGCAGTTCCTGCTGTATTTTCAGCTGGATTCTGCACTATAGCACTGTACACCAGAGGTCTTTACTGCTTAAAAATTATTGTGGTTTATTACAGCTAGTTTTATTTTATTGAAGTCCTCCCTATCTTTCCTTGTATCACTTTACTTTTATTAGGTACAATGCTTTTGCTTTTGAGTGGAATAAAAGTTGTTGTACCTAATGAAAATAAATTCCTTATTAGTTATAACTGAGTTCCTGCAAACTCCCCAGGGAGTGGGAGGAACACGAAAGACATTCTTTGTGTTCAATGGGGTAAGAATACTTTTGGCATTAAAGCTGCTAAAATTGTGAGCCCTTTTTGTGCAGAGTGTAGGCCTGGATATTGTCAAGAACACGCTTCTTTCTGTGTTAAGGGAGTACTTGATTTGCTATTCACAAGTGATGGTGAGAAAATGTGATGTTGAACAAGGCAAGTTACTGCCCCAGAGTTGCAGTTTGTGTGGTACTTTAGCTTGACTAATTAGCAGATGTCAGATCAGGGGTTTGTCTTAATTCTCATTTATTAGTGTGTATTTATGCCTAGAAAGGAATTAACATAAATCTTCCTGTGTCCTAACCAGACTTATTTTTAATAAAGCTATCTTAATGAGGTACCTTGAGCTTTGTGAAGAAAAAGGTTGCCTTTCCACATAAAAATGTAAATACTTTGAGTCATCCTTGCAAGGAGGAACAGAAGGGTGGAGTATTCCTTCATCTAAATAGCAGAAGGTGAAAAATCAGACCAATGTCAATCACATGAACCTATCTTCATTTATTTGTAATAAGTCTTTCCTTTTGATATGATTTTCTACTGTTGTTTCTTTTGAAAATCTGAAAGCAAATTTTTTGCTAGCACACTTAGAAAAATAATCAGATCTATCTAAAGAAATAACTCAGACACCAGTTAGCGTTTACAATCATCTTCTTTCCTTGAGTAATCTGTTGGAGGCTTGAGACTATGATTGCAATCTACTGAACTTGCAAATAGGTAAATGTGATGATTTTTTTTTTTTTTTTTTTTAAAAAACGTGCCTTGAATAAAACTGGCAAGTTAACACCAGCTT